TCTCACTGCCATGTCTCATCAGAGACAGTGGGATATCTGCCCCCACATGATCTCTTTTCTGGAGCATGATGGCGTTGTACCACCTATGGGACCTCTGAGTTCCAGGGCCTGATGAAAGCTGATCCATGCTTGGGAAAAAGAAAACAAGACTGAGCAGCCATGAGTATTTGGGCATCGGTCCCTGTCCTGGGCCTGAGTTCATGAAAAAGGAGTTGAGTTCACACGGACTGGGAGCTCCAGTGTGTGACCTGATGGGACTGGTACCAGTACAAACTTGTGGATCCCCTCAGCCCTATGCATCTTAGCAACAGCTGGGCCATGCCAGACACTGTGGTGAAGTGTGATGGGGATGCACAGGGAAACTGTTTCTGCTCTCCATGCCCAGACATGATGCCCATGATCAGTTGTTGCCAGAAAGGTGGATGTGGAGGCAAGAGAGAGGGCCATCGACAAGACAATTACCCATTCCCAGTTTCTGCAATCCTTTGGGATCATCTTTGTCTGAGCCTCCGTTCTCGACACAGCTCCACCCAAAGCAAGACGAACACTCTTCCCCAAGAGCTATGGCCTCCAATGTCAACAGCGCTTGTCTAGGCAGCGATGTCACAAGTCAAGGACTGGTGGCCATTGGCTATAGAGGAACTAGGGATGTCTTCCTCACCTTCAAGAGACAGTGACTGAAAAGAGGAATTTCTGCAGTATGCCCCACCCTTCAGTGTCTTCCCACTAAGGAATGGTTTTCTCCCTTGGCCATCAGTATCCAGATGAAAAGACCACACAGGGACACACTCAGGGTTGCTGCAAATGTTTATCAAGGCTCAGGAGGGAAAGGAGGTGACTCCAAGAGGAGGCCCCGAGATCGTAGCACAGCAGGAGCAGACAAAAATCTGTTCAGCTTTTCCAAAGGCAGACTTGCAACAGGGCATCAATCTACCTGGTCCACATGGGGAGAGGGGCTAGCAGGTCTCTCCAGGCTGGTTTCTGGGGGCCTCACACAAAGGAGAGGGCAAGAAAGCAAAGAAAGAAAAAGAGCGTGTAGAAAACAGGATAGGAAGACATTGGTCATGTTGTCATAGACTCAAGACTGGCCCCTTCCTATCTGTCTTTACAGGACAAGCCAGAGATGGTCAGGTCCTCTTAAAACAACAACATGAGGTCTCTTCTTCCATCCATTCTTGTCCAGCAGCATGTTCTGATTTCCTGGGGTCCTGGTCTGGGGCACTGTCTGGCATCTTTAGCAGGGGCGGCACCTGCTGCCACAGTAGCGGCTAGTGATGCAGGAGAGATCACAGCACCCGGAGTTGATGGGGACACCATCACAGCTGAGGATGCTGCCAACGGCAGCAGAGGTGGAGGATCCCACAGCCGTGTTCTGCGGGAAGGAGCTGAGGATGGGGCCGGGCAGGGTCACCACCACGGGAGAGGGCTGGATGACAATGGTGGAGTTCTGGCACTGCCTGACGCAGGGCTCATTGCAGCTGCTGGCCAGTGGGGTTGGGCCGCAGGGCTGGCATGGCCGGCACTGGTCATAGCAGGACATGTCTGGGGGCAGGAGGTTCACCTGGGAGAGAGGGCAGATAGAAAGCTCAACATGGGGATGCATGAGGAGCAGCCTGTCACCACATCCTAACAGATCCAAGACACAGGCAGTACTGTGAGCTGGAGGCTGTGCAGGGATGTGCGAGGCATTCTTGGCTGCATCCTGACAGGGCCCAAAAAGAGCCACCACAGCCAGGATACACCCTAGGCTCCAGCATAAGAGCCATCACACCAAAGGCCCAATCTTCCTCCATGACAAACCTTCTACCTCTTGACTCTCCCACAACCAGCAGTCCCAAGATTTGGCAGGACACGCAGCTGATAGCAGCTGAAAGGTCCAAGGAACTGAGTCCTCCTTTGGGAGAATGATGGGGACAAGAAGGGGCTTCACACTCACCTGGTTCCCAACAAGAAGAAGGCCAGAGACGTGGATGATTGAGCACGGAGCTGGGCTGGCTTTTATAGTGGGCCTTAGCTGCCCCATGTCCAGAGGCATCCCTTGAAGCAGGGACTATTTTCTGACAAGGTACTCATGCATGAAAAACATCCCACCTAATGATACAGGATGTGTGTTGCCTTCCTGTGATGCTGCTTTTCATTTCCTGCTTTATGCCCTTTCCCCAAAGAAGGCAACTCCTGAGTGGCAGGTAGGGAGGCCCAAGTATTTCCAGGCAACATATTTCAGTGTGGGCAGAAGACTCAGCTCACGTGCTGGAAGAGTCCAGTAAAGGCAAATGTTGTCAATCTGGGTGACTCCCTAGAGACTATCAGAGGCCCTTTTTGCTACAGGTGACCCAGCTCCTGGCTGTGACCATACCCCTGCTGACACTGCCCTCAGGGAAAACCTACTGGCCTGTTTTGCCTTCTCCTGCTCTGACCCAGGGATGTCTGTAAAGGGGGAGAGGTTGTGCAGGGCCCTTTCTGGATCACAAAAGAAAGGCCCAACAGGACAGTGTCTGATTTAGTTAGAAGGAATAACAAGATGAATGTACACAGAAAGGAAACCTTTCATGAGCAGGTGATCCTGCCTTCTACCAGCATCGGACAGAGCCGGGTGGGTTTTCCCAAGACACACAGTGCAGATCCTGTCCATAGGGAATTCCTTCTTCACTCCCATAACTTGATGCCGTTCATTTATTGTTTTAAAAAATAAATAAAATCATACATCTTCTCCTTACATGATGCAAGCTTATTTCTGTCATGACACCCACCAGTGATCAGTCGGGGCACTCCAGCACTTTCCTTACCACTGCTACTCAGCCTAACAAATGGGATTCTCAGGCCTTAAGTGCAAGGCCCAAGAAAGCTGACATTGTCTTGTCAAGAGCCCTGGCTCCGGTTCCTTCTGCAAGGCTCCCAGTCCACCTCCCCTCTCTATCATGTCAAACTATGTACTTGGACCAAATGCTGTCCAGAATCTTTGCTGTACACTGTGTCACGTTCATGCACGTGTTCCTCCCTTGTGGGTGCTTGCCTGTACTGGGGCTGCCTGAGACAGACTCAGCATTCCCCACAGCAGCCCCTAGAGTGCTGTGCTCTGCACTTGGAACTAGAACAGCGTTGCCAACATGGGGACTACAGTGGAGCAGTGGTGACACAGCATCAAGACTCTCTCCAAGCCCCACAAAGCCAGGAGATTAGGGTTGGGCGCGAGGTTGGGAGGGGACATCACCAGGGCAGCTGACCTAAACCAACCAAAGGGATATTCCATACTGGATGATGTCACACTTAGCAGTAAAGATGTGAAAGGGGAAGGAAAAACAGGGGTGGGCATACTAAGTCAGTGCTTCCAAAGACATCGACAAACATCACTTGCTGATGGGAAGTGGAGTATAATTTTCTCTCAATTTGTTTCCAAACACCCTTCACTCTTTAGTTTTATAATTTTTCTTTCTTTTTCATTTAATTATATTATACCTTTCTACACTTGTAAGCCCTTTAACTTAAATCACATTCTCTGCGCACATCTTGCTTTCAGCAGGGGGTGAGAGAGAGCTGTGTTGTGGAGTTTAGTTGGCAAGAAGAGAGGAAGAAGGAACCTGAGAACAGCTGAACAATCACAGAACAAAAACAGCCCAGAAGTGCCCACAGCACACATGCTGAAATGCAGCCTTCTGTATCTGAAGCCCTCTTTCTCCTGACCCTAAGAAGTTCATTGCCAATGTCAGTCCCCAACAAGGATGGGCCCACAACAGTTTGAATCCTTTCTTTAATTCTGTACCACAGGATTCAGAGTGTAAGAGCATGGTGGCAGTCACCTCTCCCTGCCTTTCCAGGCCAGGACACAACAACACCACCAGTTTTGACAGTCACACCAGTTTTGACAGTCACACAAGACACTATCTGCTCACTCTCACTTGGCTGCACTTGTATCATGCCGGGGACTACGTTCCCTCCTCTATACCCACCCCATCGCCAACTTCGGTGTCCATCTTCTCCAGGGCTGTAATGCCCCTGCTCCATGCACCAATCTACAGGCTAAGGACCGAGAAGGTGAAGGAAGCCATGCGAAACCAAGGGAGGTTGTTTCTTTGTTTCCTCTGCTGTGTTCTCTGTTTCTGCTTTCAGGGCCACGCCGTTTTCTCTATCTATTCCACCCATTCCCCACATCCGCCATCCATCTTCTGTCCCCACATGCTTCCCCAGCACAGCACTGTCCTGAGCAAGAAGAAGCCCGTTCCTAAGAGCCTGCAGGATGCCTAGCTTTCACAGCCTCCCACAGACTCATAGCTTTTCCCGTGAGGACAGCAGAGGTTGTGCTCTCTGTTTGCAGGACAGGGGGGAGCTGTGGGCAGAGACGCTGCAAGGCAAGGGTAGATAGCCCCTACCTCTGTTAAAGGCAGGGATGTCTTCTTCAGCCCCAAGGGGCAGTGTCCAAGAGAGGACCCTCTGCAGTGTGTCGCAACCTCCCATTGTTCTAGGAGTGGGGAAAAGGCTCCTTAAACACCCATCTTATTTATACCCACCAAGGGCAAAACCATTCTCGTTGGGCAGTTGAGGAGGGTATATGGAGAGGGAAGAAACATCTACAGCCAAGGCTGGTGATGCAGAAAACTTTAATGAGTGTACAGAGGAAAAGGAGGTCACTCTGAGCAGATGCCCTTCAGTGCAGGGATCACCAGGGCCAACCAAGAGGCAGCGTCATTTTCCCATGGAGAAGTTCATGCAGGGCATATGTCTGCTGTTACCACAGTGGCAGGGCTGGATCTGAGTAGCCCCATAACCCAACGGAGCAGAAGAACACTGCGAAAAGGGAGACAAGGAGGTAGGTGAAAGAATGGAAGAAGAGACATGGGCCGTGTTTTCAGAGATCTCAGGCTAGCCCCTGGTCAGGCTCCTGCCAGTGTTTGCCAGAGGAGGTGAAGAAGGTCCGTCATTCTGAAAGCAATTGCCTGAAGATTCCTCCTTCTATTGTCCAGCACCATGGTTGTGCTGGAACCCCAGGGCCATGGGCAGTGACTTTAGCAGGGCAGGCACCTTCTGCCACAGTAGCGGCTGGTAATGCAGGAGAGGTCACAGCACCCGGAGGTGATGGGGACTCCGTCACAGCTGAGGATGCTGCCAACGGCAGCAGAGGTGGAGGATCCCACAACGGTGTTCTGCGGGAAGGAGCTGAGGATGGGGCCGGGCAGGGTCACCACCACGGGAGAGGGCTCAATGACGACGGTGGAGTTCTGGCACTGCCTAACGCAGGGCTCATTGCAGCTGCTGGCCAGCGGGGTTGGGCCACAGGGCCGGCATGGCAGGCACTGGTCGTAGCAGGACATGTCTTGGGCTGGAGATGCACCTGGGAGAGAGGGCAGAGAGGAAGATCCAATGACACCATCACAGAGCGCATAATCCCAAAGGCTGCCTCTGCACCATGTCACAGTCTCTCTCTACACAGAACTTCTCTCTCCACCATTCTCCCATGTCAAGGAACTCCAAGGCCCAGCATAGCTCTGAACCACCACCAGATGAGATGTCTATTAATGCAAGATCCCTTCTACTTGAGAAGAAGAGGAGAGAGGGCTTCAGACTCACCTGGTTCCCAAGGAGGATGAAGCTACAGAATTGGATGAGAGAGCAAGGAGCTGGTCTGCCTTTTATACTGGTACTTCATTGCCACAGGCCCAGAGGCACCCTTGGCAGAGGTAACAATTTTCTGACAGGTTCATCTTGAATGCAAACCATCCCAACAAATGATATGGGCTGTGTGCTGGTTTCCTGCACTGCTGCGTTTTTACTTGCAGATCTAGGCCATGGCCATTCCGCAGTGATGATTTCTTTAGAGTGCTGGGATGAAATGTCCAAGGACTTCTAGGGCAGGAATGTATCAGTGAGGGCAGAAGACTCACTGGAAGTGCTGGATGGGTCCCCTCTGATCATCTTCATGGCTCTGCTCTGGACTCACTCTAACAGGTCTATATCTTTCCCGTGCTGGGGGCCCCAAAGCTGAACACAGCACTCCAGGTGGGGTCTCACTGAAGCAGAGATACTGAATGTTTTCTTTGCTACACTCTTTGCTTCAAGGACTTCCCCACGGGACTCCTGAACTCTGGAGGAGGAGAAAGAGTCTGGGAAGTGGAGATCTCCACCCTTGTTGAGAAGGGAGTGGTTCGGTAGCATCTGAATGGGATCAGCGCTCACAAATCCATGGGTCCTGATGTGATGCATCCACGTATGCTAAGAGAGTTGGCAGAGGTGATCACCAAACCATTCTCTATCATCTTTGAAAGGTCCTGGAGAACAGGAGAGGTGCCTGAAGATTGGAGGATAGCCATTGTCACTCCGGTCTTCAAGAAGGGCAAGAAGGAGTATCTGGGAAACTACAGGCCAGTCAGTCTCAGCTCTGTCCCTGGAAAGGTCTTGGAATGGCTTGTTCTGGATGCCATCTCCAAGCAATTGGAAGAAAAGAAGGTTATGAGGAATCACAGAATCACAGAATTGTCTAGGTTGGAAGAGACCTCAAGATCACCTAGTCCAACCTCTGACCTAACACTAACCAGTCCTCCACTAAACCATATCCCTAAGCTCTACATCTAAACATCTTTTAAAGACCTCCAGGAATGGTGACACCACCACTTCCCTGGGCAGCCCATTCCAATGCCTAACAACCCTTTCGGTAAAGAAGTTCTTCCTAATATCCAACCTAAAACACCTCTGGTGCAACTTTAGCCCATTCCCCTTCGATCTGTCGCCAGGCACATGGGAGAATAGACCAACCTCCACCTCGCTACAGCCTCCTTTAAGGTACCTGTAGAGAGTGATAAGGTCGCCCCTGAGCCTCCTCTTCTCCAGGCTGAACAAGCCCAGCTCCCTCAGCTGCTCCTGGTAGGACTTGTTCTCCAGACCCCTCACCAGCTTTGTTGCCCTTCTCTGGACTCGCTCAAGCACCTCCATGTCCTTCTTGTAGTGAGGGGCCCAAAACTGAACACAGTACTCAAGGTGCGGCCTCACTAGAGCTGAGTACAGGGGGACGATCACTTCCCTAGACCTGCTGGCCACACTGCTTCTTATGCAAGCCAGGATGCTGCTGGCCTTCTTGGCCCCCAGAGCACACTGCTGGCTCATATTCAGCCAACTATCAACCAATACTCCCAGGTCCTTCTCCGCCAGGCAGCTTTCCAAGCACTCGTCTCCCAGCCTGTAGCTCTGCTTGGGGTTGTTGTGCCCCAGGTGCAGGACCCGGCACTTGGCCTTGTTGAACTTCATACGGTTGGCCTCAGCCCATGGGTGCAGCCTATCCAGATCCTCCTGCAGAGCCTTCCTACCCTCGAGCAGATTGACACATGCATCTAACTTGGTGTCATCTGCAAACTTACTGAGGGTGCACTCAATCCCCTCATCCAAATCATTGATAAAGACATTAAAGAGGACTGGCCCCAGTACCAAGCCCTGGAGAACGCCACTAGTGACCGGAGTAGTCAGCGTGGACTCACCAAGGGGATGTCGTGCTCAACCAACCTCATTGCCTTCTGTAATGGCATCAGCAGCTGGGTAAATGAGGGGAGAGCAATGGATGTCATCTACCTTGACTTTAGCAAGCCTTTTGATACAGTCTCCCATGACATCCTACTAGCAAAGCTGAGAATGTGTTGGATAGAGGAATGGACAGTATGGTGGGTTGATAACTGGCTGACTGGCTGAGCTCAGAGGGTGGTGATCAGGTGCGCAGAGTCTGGCTGGAGACCTGTGACTAGCGGTGTTCCCCAGGGGTCGGTGCTGGGTCCAGTCTTGTTCAACATCTTCATCGATGACCTTGATGAGAGAATAGTGTCTGCCCTCAGCAAGTACACTGATGACACAAAGCTGGGAGGAGTGGCTGACATGCCAGAAGGCTGTGCTGCCATTCAGCGAGACCTCGACAGTCTGGAGAGATGCGTAGGAAGAAACCAAATGAGGTTTAAAAAGAGCAAGTGTAGAGTCCTGCACCTGGGAAGGAACAACCACATGTATCAGTACAGGCTGGGGGATGACCTGCTGGAGAGGAGCTGTGGGGAGAAGGACCTGGGGGTCCTGGTGGACAACAGGCTGACTATGAGCCAGCACTGTGCCCTCGTGGCCAAGAGGGCCAATTGGATCCTGGCGTGCATTAAAAGAAGCGTGGCCAGCAGGTCAAGGGAGGTGATCCTCCCCCTCTACTCTGCCCTGGTCAGGCCTCACCTGGAGTACTGTGTCCAGTTCTGAGCTCCCCAGTACAAAGAAGACAAGGATCTCCTGGAAAGAGTCCAGCAGAGGGCCACAAAGATGATACGAGGTCTGGAGCATCTTCTCTATATGGAAACGCTGAGAGAACAGGGTCTATTCAGCCTGGAGAAAAGAAGACCAACAGGGGATCTCATCAATGTGTATAAATACCTGAGGTGTTGCGGGACAGAGGGATTTAGCCAACCTCTTTTCAGTGGATTGCGGGGACAGGACAAGGAGTAATGGCCACAAGACAGAGCAAAGGAAGCAGACTGCTATGAGGCTCCTGATAGTGCCTGTCAGTCAGGGATTTCCACTCCCAGACACTGCAAGGTCCTCCTGGGAGTCAGTGCTGGAGCCAGGCCTATCTCCTCACATCTGTCTTTAAAGGCCTGCCAGCATTATCTCAGAAATGCATCGCAGAGGGGACAGATTCCCACCCAGCCCATGTCTGGCTTGTTCTCCTGAAGGCAAAGGGGCAGGTGCTGCTCCTCTATGTATGGGATTTCACAGCAAATTGGTCACATTTACAAGAGTAAACTGATCCACACCATTCCTTTGGCCAGAGGAATGCTCAGCATTTGGAGTGCTTCCGCATGGCTGCCCATCTAGCACTGTGTTCATAGTTCCTGGGAGCTCTTCCCTCAGGCCCTCTCCAGCAGCTTTGACATGGAGGGCACCTTCTGCCTGAACAGCACCTGGCAATGCCAGGGACATCCAGTCCTGCTGAATGCTTTCATTAAGGCCATGAGCAGTCGGAAGGAGGGCACCCTTGGCCAGTTTGTGCATGGCACAAACCAGGGCACACAGGTGGTGACAGCGTAGGTCACGAGGGGGCTTTGGGGAATGCAGGCAGGCTGGAGAAAACGATTTTCCTCTAAGGCTGGAAGCAGCCCCATAGTAATGCAGGGTGGTTGCTGGCTGCCATGGAAGCAGACCCTCAGGAAAGGGTTTTTGGTGCAAGAGGCAGCCAGCTGCGCACGAGGCAGCAGTGTGCTGTAAGAAATGGCTCAGCCTTCAAAATAGGACTATAATCAAAGTTTACAATTTATTAAAGGAATAGAGGTAAGCAAACAGTGCTGGGTGCGCCAGGAGTCTCTGCTCCACCAAGATGCATACCAGTTACATCAAGCAGCTGATTTTTATGCTCCTAGGCTAATACATATTTATTACTACTTCTAAAAAAAACAGGGTTATTATAATTAGTTTCCAGAATCCAAACCCTCCTACTGGAGCATGCGTATCAGTCTCCAGTGGTGTCTCTGGGGGTCCCTGGTGGTCTCTTGTGCTGAAGGCTCAAAGTCTTCCTCCCTCTTGTCCTTCTCCTTTGTCCAACTTGGCTGTATGTCAGAGACTTGTGCAGCGTCCCCTGCAAGCTTTGTCTTTTAGTTGTTCTTCAGTTCTCCCCATCTCCTTAATCTTCTGGCCAGATATGAGAGCCTTGCATAGTGTCCCATGCAATAGTCATAATAGTTAGCAGATATTCTGAAACCCCCCAGATATCAGAGACTTCAAGGAAAAGCCTACAAATATATTTCCCTTCAAGCTCTCTATTGACACGAATTGCTAAAACATTCCTTTGCAAGATACAAGAACTATATGCATTAACCACTCTGTTTTTCTTAGGCTTGTGGTTATAAAAGGGTATGTAAGACAGAAGGTCACATCCATCATACCAAGCGGCCCTAGTGTTACTCCTTATTGACACGAATCAGATGAACACATTTCACAGCGCCCTTGCAGCAAAGGCAACCAATGGCCTACAGAGCTGGGAGGGTCAGGGGATGTCCCACAGTGCATGGGGCCGGGCAGGTTGGGCGGGGATGAGGCAGGGGCACAGCCACAGAACAGCCAAATTGTGTTTCCTCCATTCTCTTTAGTGCCTCGTTTTAAGAGCTTGTTGTACAGGCTTTGTCCCAAGCCCAAATCCAGGACCTCTGGCACTGAGACAATATCCTGACAATACAACAACTATCTCTGCTGGACACTCACTCTAATGACATGTGTTGGAACCTTGGATCTTGCCAAAGGACTGAGTCGTTGAGGGGGTTGCTGCACTAGCCAGCACTGTTGAAGGTCTGCCCTTGGTGCAGGATTCACTCCTGTGTGTGTGTGCAGAGGTGCTGACTGAGCAGAGGGCCATGGTGGGGTGTCCTTCCCTGCCAGCATGAGAGAGCATGGCTCTCCTGAGGGGTTGGGTGCAGGGGGTGAGGAACCCCATCTTCATTGACAGCAGAGGTGGGTGCAGAACTCTGTGTCTGGCTGGGTTCTGGATGGCAGTGGGAGGCCACTGGGGACACTTGCCCCTTGCTGGGGCTGCCCACCTGCCAGGAGGGGCAAAAAGAGGGAAGCACACAGCAGCCATGTTGGTGTCCTTTTGCCTTACTGCTGACCAAGTGAAATGTCCTAGCCTTCACAGGCCTGCAGCTGTGAGCTAACTGCACAAGTGTGACGCTCCCTGTGCTGGAACACTTCTGGCTGGCCAAGGGGTCCTGGAGCACAGCAAAGACTGGCTGGATTCCTTTCTGACTGCTTTAGCCACTAGTCCATACCTCTCTTGAGAGCCTTGCTGGGGCAGAGGTGAGCCCCAAGGAGCAGCAGGGGGAGAGCTTTGCTCCACCCTCTGTGCTGAGGTTTAGAGGCTGCTTTGAGCTGGCAGAGGGGGAAGTAAACTCGCAAGCTTGAGCTCCCTCTTTCCAGGCACTACGTGGGCACCCTGTGAAGGCGAGAGCGTGACATGGTCCTGCTTTTCCTGGCAGCCTTGTTGGCACTGTCAGACTTTGGTGAGATGTGACTTTGAGGCAGGGCAAGCTAGGGGCCAGATGGCATCCCATCATTTCTGGAGGGGGGAAATTGGAGTCCTGCCTCCCTGGAAGAAGTGGAAGTGCTTTCTGTAGGGAGAGCAGAGGCTGAAGACCAGTACAGGAGACAGTCTGGGAGATGTCAGGAGCAACGAGTGTACAGGGATGAATAAGAACCTGCACTTTTCCTTTGCAGATGCCTAGTGTTCTTACATGTATTGTTCATAGATATGGATGGACTCGAAGCCTGGTAAGATACTGCTAAAAAGTAGGTAAGCTGACAGACTTGGGTATGGGAATGGAATAGCAGCTGCAGAAAGAAGAGTGCATGTGTATTTAGCTCAGCATTTTACAGCCCATGAAAAGGGAGATGGAGAGTGGAGACAGTGAGAAAGTTGGTGAAATGATACACAAAGGAGAGAGAGGATACAGATACATCTTCAAGCAGTGATGAGATGCTGTTCTGGCTTTGCAGGTCATGCACAGAAGGACTCTGTGGTGCAGTTTGCCCAAGAAACTGCCATCCAGGTGGGACACAACGCTACTCTGCACTGCAATTTCTCCACCAGCACCTCTACACCCTATATCTTCTGGTACCAGCAGCGCCTGACCCAGTCCCCTCAGTTCTTGCTGCAGGTGAGCAAGTTCAAGCCTCATGTGCATTCCGGGAGGATCTCCTCTGTGCTCTCCAAGGAGAACTCCCTGGTGCTTCTCCACGTGCAAGATGCCAAGCTCCAGGACAGCGCTGTCTACCTGTGTGCACTGAACCCACACTGGTGCCCTCAGCTTTCAGCTTTATACAGGAAGGTGTGGGTGCTGTGAGGTGCAGTTCCGTCTCATCACAGTTTGCATAGCGCTCTGAGCTGAGCCTGCCCAGCAAGGACACCTGGGGCTTGTGGTGAGCCAGCAGCCCCTGCTCCTGATGCCTGGTAGTGTGGTTAGCATAACCAACAGCAAGGCAAATATCCATCATGTGGAAGGGGCTGCTAATGTGCACCCCTGCCTCCTTGTCTCTCCCTCCCACTGGCCGCAGCATGTGGAGACACCCACCATTGTGGTGAGAAAGGGCATTGGTGTTATCAAGCTAGTAATTCAACTAGTAATTTATTTGTAGTAAGCTTTATGTTTTTGTAGTAATTTTTAGTATTTTATTGTAATTTATTTTGTAGTAATAAATTTCTAGTTACAACCACAACCAGTGGCCGGTCCTCATTCCGCCAAGGATCCCTAAGGAACCTGCCAGTGCTCTGTAGTGTTGTGAGACAGAGCTGGGTGTAGTCAGCAGGAGCCTTGTGTTAGAATAATGAATGGTTCCCTTGAGAAATGGGCCCCACTGTGAAAGGGTTTTCTTGGAAATGGAAGGCAAGATGCAAAGTGTATTCTGAGCCAATCCACAGACATAGTCAAGACATTATTTCAGAATAGTGCAAGTCTGGGTAGCTGTTAGTTTCCCACAAAGCAGGAACCCCTTAAGACTTTCCACTTTCATAAAACCCCTTCTCAATACATTTGCATGTTTGTACAATCCCCGCTCCTCTGAATGGTTACATACTACCATAGTGCTGCCATGACAGAATCATTCTGCACATCCTCAGAGAGGAAGAGTCCCTTGTTGGGCCGGGGTCTCCCAGCACAGGGGCATGATTTTTACTCTTGTAATTAGGATAGTACATGGTAACTTCACATTAGAATACTCCTAATCTTTGTTTTTCAGCTGTCTATTCAAATTGCATTACTAGGTGTTATATTAAAGAGCCAAATGGGTGTCCCTTGTGGCCGATCAGTGTGAGTGCACGTGACCCACTGAATCCATGTCCTTTTTCCTGCTGACTCCTCACCCCTTGCCCTATGGAACAGGTTGTCCTGCTCCCCTCTAGGCTTGTGCCATCCAACACCCCAATGGAGCCCTGTTCCTCTTGCAAATGCTAGGTTATTCCACCAGAACAGGACACAGTCAGAAAACCTGGGCTGCTGCATAACATGGTTCTTCCCTTCTTTCTGGGGCTGTAGGACAGAAATAAAGGTATCTTCTCCTCCCACAGGAAATAGGAACATCTCTATGGAGCAAATGATCCCAGGGTAGAAAGAACAAGCTCAGTGGGGAAGACTGCCCTGACATCAGCCATGGCCCAGCAGTGCCTGTGCAGAAGAGAAGGCAGATGTAGCTGGGGAGGTGAGGACCCCACTGGGAGAGGAGATGAGAGCAGCCCCTGCACATGATGTGCCTCCCAGAATTCCCGGGACCCCTGACTGTGGCAATCCTCAGTGGTTGCTGCAGCTGGAGGAGGGAGAAACCCCAGGGAGCATTTGGGGCACAGTCAGACCAGAATATATCTTGTCACTGAATCTGCCCTTGTTCCCCCAGCAGAGTCATTTCCGGCAGCTCTGTTCTCTTGGGGCTGGGAGGTGCTTTTCTGACTCTCTCTCCCACAGCAAACAGGAGGGTCGGTCTCAGCATGCACCGTGGGTATCTTGTCCTCATTGCCTTCCTGGGGCAACTGCCGGGTAAGTGCTGGCTTTTAATCAAGGTACAAATCTTCTTTCCCCAGAAAGCCCTTGTCAGCCTTAATATATTTATGTGAGGAGCAACTCTTGAATCACAAGGAAAACGTTGCTAAATGTTGTCTCCCATTTATGGTTGCTTAATGTTGTCTCCCATTTCTGGTTCGTGTACTGGTTCTCTCAAGATGCTGTTATTCTTTGAAATTTGGAAAGAGGAGATGGAAAAGAGACCTCTCCTGCTACTTAAGTTCTTTCAGTCCGTCTCTTTTCTGCATCTCTCTTCTCCTCCACCTGTTGTCACCAGAGAAGTTTTCACCAGTCTCTGCAGTCCCTCATTTCTCCCTTTCCTATAGAAAAAGCCAGATTGTGTCCAAGTGGATACAGGGACATGAAAGCTCTCCTCCCATGGACATTACCAGGGTGTCCAGTCTGTCTTCTGCCTGATGTCTTCCTGCTGTGGCCTACAGTGTCCTCCTGCTTGTCAGCACAGCCATGGCTCACTCCTGCCACCACTCACTTCAGCTTTGTTTGTACTGATGGGACTTGGAGGCCCCTGAGATGACAGGATCGAGGAAGCAGGTTGAACCTTTTCTCCATAGCTGTGTGGGCCGTTCAACCTGCTGGAGGGTACTGGTCCCAGCACACAAAGCAAGGCATGACAGACTGTGCCCTGGTCCTCTGGGCAGAAGGAGAGCAGGCAGGAGGAGCAGGCACACAGCACAGCTCTCCTCAGGGTCTGCTCTGGCCAGGGAGCACTGAGCTCTGCCCCCACACCACCTTGCTGTGCCCCAGCCGTGTGGACCTTTCAGCCCAGTAAAGGACAGAGAGAAAGGACGGGTCTGAATCCACTCCTGTTTGGTTGCCTGTAGATTTCCCCACAGAACTGCTGACCTTCTCTATCTTCCAGAAACCATGGGGCAGGTGTCCGTCACCCAGGAAGAAGGACAAGTCTCCGTGGAGCAGGGAAACACCTTCCAGACCAATTGCACATATGAAACCTCCAGCTTTTATGGCTTGCTCTGGTACGAGCAGAAGAAGGGACAAGCCCCTCAGCTGATTACACATCAAGCAATAGCAGGCACCAAGCAGAAGGACCGTTTCACCACGGAGCTGAACACTAAGGGGAAATCCAGTGTTCTGCGTCTGAAGGAAGTCGAGCTTTCTGACAGCGCCTTGTACCTCTGTGCTGTGAGTGACACCCTGGTGCAGGAAGCTGCCCTGGCTGTGCAACAACTCTGGAGGAGGAGGGGACTTATTCTCCAGAAGGATTTTGTCATTTCCAAGACAAAGGTGAATGAATCTCCAAATTGTGAATGTGCTCCTCCATCTCAGACTTCAGTGTTAGCCAGGAGATAATTCTGGCTCAGGAGCACCTATTGATTATTGCTCTAACCCAGGAAATAGATATGTTTTGCATAGAAGGTCTGGGTCCCAGTGTGAGAGCTGGGTCTGGGGCACAGACTAAGGCCAGACCCCAGAGAGGCCTGGCTAAAGGTTCCATCCAGTGATGGCGCTGCACCACCCAGATGGCTGGCCAGGCCAGACTGGTAAGATTAGGCCAGGCCAGGCACAGGCACACACTCAGTAAAGCTGGGGCAGGGCTATGCTAGGCCTGAGCTTGTGCAGAGACCCTGGGCTAGGGGTCAGGCCAGAGCTGTAAGATGTGGTTGCCTGGGCTTTGGTGGGCTTGGTTCTGATGCTTGTTGCCCTTGCGCTGCCACCTGAGCCAGCACTGCCTCCCAAAGAACCTGGCCTACGGAGAGGTACCTCCATCCTCACACCATGGAGCAATAGCCCCATCCCCCATCCTGGTCCCGTGGCACTGGCAGCATGTACAGTCTGTGTGAAACTAAATCACCCCCACACCACAGGACCCCAGGGTTTGCAGATGTGGGAAGGCCCTTGCCTGGGAGTGGAGAGCAGTGGTGCTTCATGAAGCAAAAGGGCCACTACATCCTCATGGCTCTGGGAATGACAGAGGAGCTTGGTGCCTGGGAGAAGATCCCCCAGCGTGTGCCCTGTGGTTGGGCTGGTGCATGCCCTGTGCCATTCACGGCCCATACACAGACCTTGCTGAGTGCACAATCAGGTCCCATTCTCACTGCTATGACTCAGCAGAGACTGTGGGATATCTGCCCCCACATGATCTGTTCTCTGGAGCATGGTGCAATTGTGCCACGTATGTAGCCTCAGATCTGGAGCCTGACAAAAGCTGATCCATGCTTGGGGAAAAGACAGCAAGACCGAGCAGCCATGAGTGTTTGGGTATCAGTCCCTGTCCTGGGCCTGAGTTCATGAAAAGGAGTTGATTTTACAGGGACTGGGGGCTCCAGTGTGTGACCTGATGGGACTGGTACCAGTACGAACCTGTGGATCCCCTCAGCCCTATGTATCGTGGCAACAGCTGGGCCATGCCAGAGACTGTGCTGAAATCTTATAGGGATGCAAAGGGAAGCTGTATCTGCTCTCCATGCCCAGACATGATACCCATGATCAGGTGGTGCCGGAAAGGTGAACATGGAGGTGAGACAGACGGCCACCCCCAAGATAATTTCCCATTCCCAGTTTCTGCAATCCTTTGAGATCATCTTTGTCTGAACCTCCATCCCCAGCACAGCTCCACCCATAGCAAGACAAACACTCTTCCAAAGATCTGGGGACTCCAATGTCAACAGCGCTTGTCTAGGCAGAGACGTCACAAGTCACGGACTGGTGGCCATTGGCTGTTGAGGAACTAGGGATGTCTTCCTCACCTTCAAGAGACACTGCCTGAAAGAGGAATTGCTGCAGTATGCCCCACCCTCCAGTGCCTAGAGGAATGAGGCAGTGCCCCCAGCCTATTCCCACTAAGGAATGGTTTTCTCCCTTGGCCATCAGTATCCAGATGAAAAGACCACACAGGGACACACTCAGGGTTGCTGCAAATGTTTATCAAGGCTCAGGAGGGAAAGGAGGTGACTCCAAGAGGAGGCCCCGAGATCGTAGCACAGCAGGAGCAGACAAAAATCTGTTCAGCTTTTCCAAAGGCAGACTTGCAACAGGGCATCAATCTACCTGGTCCACATGGGGAGAGGGGCTAGCAGGTCTCTCCAGGCTGGTTTCTGGGGGCCTCACACAAAGGAGAGGGCAAGAAAGCAAAGAAAGAAAAAGAGCGTGTAGAAAACAGGATAGGAAGACATTGGTCATGTTGTCATAGACTCAAGACTGGCCCCTTCCTATCTGTCTTTACAGGACAAGCCAGAGATGGTCAGGTCCTCTTAAAACAACAACATGAGGTCTCTTCTTCCATCCATTCTTGTCCAGCAGCATGTTCTGATTTCCTGGGGTCCTGGTCTGGGGCACTGTCTGGCATCTTTAGCAGGGGCGGCACCTGCTGCCACAGTAGCGGCTAGTGATGCAGGAGAGATCACAGCACCCAGAGTTGATGGGGACACCATCACAGCTGAGGATGCTGCCAACGGCAGCAGAGGTGGAGGATCCCACAACGGTGTTCTGCGGGAAGGAGCTGAGGATGGGGCCGGGCAGGGTCACCACCACGGGAGAGGGCTGGATGACAATGGTGGAGTTCTGGCACTGCCTGACGCAGGGCTCATTGCAGCTGCTGGCCAGCGGGGTTGGGCCGCAGGGCTGGCATGGCCGGCACTGGTCGTAGCAGGACATGTCTGGGGGCAGGAGGTTCACCTGGGAGAGAGGGCAGATAGAAAGCTCAACATGGGGATGCATGAGGAGCAGCCTGCCACCACATCCTAACAGATTCAAGGCACAGGCAGTACTGTGAGCTGGAGGCAGTGCAGGGATGTGCGAGGCATTCTTGGCTGCATCCTGACAGGGCCCAAAAAGAGCCACCACAGCCAGGATACACCCTAGGCTCCAGCACAGGAGCCATCATACCAAAGGCCCAATCTTCCTCCATGACAAACCTTCTACCCCTTGACTCTCCCACAACCAGCAGTCCCAAGATTTGGCAGGACACGCAGCTGATAGCAGCTGAAAGGTCCAAGGAACTGAGTCCTCCTGTGGGAGAATGAGGGGGACAAGAAGGGGCTTCACACTCACCTGGTTCCCAACAAGAAGAAGGCCAGAGACGTGGATGAGAGAGCACGGAGCTGGGCTGGCTTTTATAGTGGGCCTTAGCTGCCCCATGTCCAGAGGCATCCCTTGAAGCAGGGACTATTTTCTGACAAGCTGCTCTTGAATGCAAAACATCCCACCTAATGATATGGGATGTGTGTTGCCTTCCTGTGATGCTGCTTTTCATTTCCTGCTTTATGCCCTTTCCCCATTCTGAGTGGCAGGCAGGGTGGCCCAAGTATTTCTAAGCAACACACGTTAGTGTGGGCAGAAGACTCAGCTCACATGCTGGAAGAGTCCAGTAAAGGCAAATGTTGTCAGTCTGGGTGACTCCCTAGGGACTCTCTGGGGCCCCTTTGGCTACAGGTGACCCAGCTCCTGCCTGTGACCCTAACTCTGTGTAGTGGGTTTACGTGGCAAGGCTTTGGTAGCAGGGGGCCATAGGGGTGGTTTCTGTGAGAAAGATCTAGAAGCTGCCCCATGTTTGGGAAGGGCCCCATTGTTTTCCAGATCTGAGCCAATAAGCGATGTTGTTTTGCGCCTCTGTGAGAGCATATTTAAGACAGGGAAAAAACTGCTGCGCCACACAGCAGCCGGGAGAGTCAAGGGAGTGAGAAACAGCCTTGCAGGTGCCAAGGTCAGTGTAGAAGGAGGGGGAGAGGTGCTCCAGGCGCCGGAGCAGAAGTCCCCTGCGGCCTGTGGTGAGGACCATGGTGAAGCAGGATGTCCCCCTGCAGCCCATGGAGTACCACGGTGGAGCAGGGTTCCACACTGCAGCCCGTGGAGGAGACCACGGTGGAGCAGGTGGCCCTGCACCGACGGAGGCTGCCGCCTGTGGAAGACTGCTGCCGGAGCAGATTCTGGGCCGGACCTGTAGCCCGTGGAGAGGAGCCCACGCAGGAGCAGGTGACCTGGCAGGAGCTGCTGCCCGTAGGGGAGCCAGGTTGGAGCAGTTTTCTCCTGAGGGATGGACCCCGTGGTACGGACCCATATCTGGAGCAGTTCTGGAAGAGCTGCTGCCTGTGGGAAGCCCACGCCGGATCAGTTCGTCAAGGACTACATCCCATGGGTGGGACCCCACAGCACAGGGGACGAGAGTGACTGAGAAGGAGCGGCAGAGAAGAAGCACTGTAGACTGACCATAACCCCCATTCCCCCGTTCCCCTGCGCCGCTCGGGGGGAGGAGGTGGAAGAGGGTGGATGGGGGGGGAGGTGCTTTTGGTTTCTTTCCTTTGTTTCTCACTTCTCTAGCTTGTTAGTAATGAGCAATAAATCTTACTATCTGTCTTCTTATGCTGAGTCTGGTTTGCCCGTTACACTAATTATTGCGTGATTTTCTCGTCCTTATCTCAATCCTTGAGCCCTTTTCACATATTTTCTCCCCATTCCTCTTTGAGGAGGGGAGTGAGAGAGCGGCTGTGGTGGAGCTCGGCTGCCCACTCGAGCAGAACCATGACACTCTGCTGACACTGCCCTCAGGGAAAACCTGCTGGCCTGTTTTGCCTCCTCCTGCTCTGACCCAGGGATGTCAGTATAGGGGGAGAGGTTGTGCAGGGCCCTTTCTGGATCACAAAAGAAAGGCCCAACAGAACAATGTCTGTTTTAGTTAGAAGGCATATAAAGATGAATGTAGACAGAAAGGAAGCCTTTCAAGTGCAGGTGATCCTGCGTTCTACCAACATCGGATAGAGCCGGCTGGGTTTTCCCAAGACACACAATGCAGATCCTGTCCATAGGGAATTCCTTCTTCACTCCCATAACTTGATGCCTTTCATTTATTGTTTTAAAAAAAGAAATAAAATCATACATCTTCTCCTTACATGATGCAAGTTTACTTCTGTCATGACACCCACCAGTGATCAGTCAGGGCACTCCAGCACTTTCCTTACCACTGCTACTCAGCCTAACAAATGGGATTCTCAGGCATTAAGTGCAAGGCCCAAGAAAGCTGACATTGTCTTGTCAAGAGCCCTGGCTCCGGTGCCTTCTGCAAGGCTTCCAGTCCACCTCCCCTCTCTATCACGTTAAATATGTACTTGGACCAAATGCTGTCCAGAATCTTTGCTGCACACTGTGTCACGTTCATGCACATGTTCCTCCCTTGTGGGTACTTGCCTATACTGGGGCTGCCTGGGACAGACTCAGCATTCCCCACAGCAGTCCCTAGAGTGCTGTGCTCTGCACTTGGAGCGAGAACAGCATTGCCAACATGGGGGCTACAGTGGAGCAGTGGTGACACAGCATCAAGACTCTCTCCAAGCCCCCCAAAGCCAGGAGGTATGCAGGTGGGAAAGAGGTGGGGAGAGGACATCACCAGGGCAGCTGACCTAAACAAACCAAACGGATATTCTGTAATCGAACACTCAGCAATAAAGATGTGAAAGGGGAAGGAAAATCAGGGTGAGTAGACAGGTATACCGAGTCCAGGCTTCCAAAGACGTGGAGAAACACTACTTTCTGATGCGAAGTGAAGAATAACTTTCCCTCAATTTGTTTCCAAACAGCCTTTGCTCTTTTTTATTTGTTTTTTTATTTTTTTAATCCTTTAATTATGTTATCCCTGTGTCAACATGTAAACCCTTTACCTTAAATCACATTCTTTTTCCACATCTTGCTTTCAGCAGGGGGTGTGAGAGAGCTGTGGTGTGGAATTTAGCTGGTCATCAGTGTGAAACTAGGACAGCCTGTGTGCTGGATTTGTGCAAGTGTCTGTGGGTGGCGTTTTGCATGATTCCACGCAGGTGTGCATGAGCAGGTAGGTGCCTGTGAGACCTGTGTGGCCCCTCCTCATAAGAAAATGGGCTGGTCAGCACAGGGCATTCTCCACTGCTCTGTCCATGAGAACAGTTGTACAATCACAGAACAAACCCAGCCCAGAAGTGCCCACAGCACACATGCTGATATGTGGACTTCTGTATCTGAAGCCCTCTTTCTCCTGACCCTAAGATGTTCATTGCCAATTTCAGTCCCCAACAAGGATGGGCCCACAATAGTTTGTATCCTTTCTTTAATTCTGTAGCACCCGATTCAGAGTGTAAGAGCATGGTTTCCCATGCAAGATTGCATGGTTTGCCAAGAGCAGATTGCCAAAGAGATGCTATTGGAGCTCCATCCTTGGAAGAGTTCAGACTTTGCCTGGACTTGATCCTTAGCAACCTGATCTGATGAGACCCACTCTGAAAACAGGGTTGGACTACGTGTGTGCTGGAGGTGCAGCCTGTGATCCTCTGGAGGGTTTCTCAGATGACCTCTCATTAGGACTGCTCAGGAAACATGGGGCAACATGCACAGTCACCACATATCAGTCTTGGAGGGATGCTGTTGACGGATCGCTGTTTCTGTTAATTCCCACGGTCACCCTTGATCACATACTGGTATGATTCATGACATCAACAGTGGGTAGAGGGAATACCACTCATGCACACTGCTGCTCATGTCAAAAGATGCATGAATTCATGGGTGCACTCACAGACACTCCTGGATACATACTGAAGTATATTTGGGCACACACGCACAAAGACAGGTGTCCACACAGTGAAGAAAGCAAATGCTGCTCTCCTGAACTCTAGGGTTCTGATTTTACTTTCTACTCTCTCTGAAGGAACATCCTGGCTTGCTGAGGCCCTGCTGTGTTTTACCTCCAGAAGATATCGAGTGGTGGAAGGCAATGAATCCTGAGCAGCAACTCTATCTCCTTCCCACAGGAGTGAGGGGAAGGTCTAGAGAGAGGTTTCTTTTGTAGCTACTGGGTTTTTCTGAGCTGAGAGCTGCTGCTCTTCATTCTGGAGTTCTCAGCCATCTGCCTCTTGATCCAGGCTGAGAATACACTTGTGTGTGGTGCCCAAACAGCCCATGTATCCTTTTGTGTAGTTTGTCTTTGGAAACCTCCCATTCACTGACATGTGCCATGTCTTGGTCAGGATGCCTCTTTATGGACAATTTACTTTTCCAGCAGTGTGGTCTGGCTCCTCTTCCTCCACTAGTGGGCCTAAACTGGGATGTCCTCTTCACACTCTTGGTCTATGACCAAGCTGCGTGCATCTGCCACCCACTGCAGAACTGCAGTCTGGTGGGAGGCCTGTGGACCGAGCTCCTGCTCCCCTCCTTGGCACAAGCGGCGCTCACCCTTTGTTTGCCCTGCTCTGGCCCTACACAATCGCAGCTCCTTCTGGGACTCGCTGTCAGTCATGCAGCTGCCTTCTGCAGAGAGCTTCTGGACTGCTGTGCTCCTTGAATACATCAGCTCCACCAGTTTTCCTGTCCTCCTTGAGCTCCTGCAGGGTGCTCCTCGCTCTGAATGTAGACATGTGAGGAGACACAAGACACTGTCTGCTCACTCTCACTTCCCTGCACTTGTATCATGCCGGGGGCTACGTTCCCTCCTCTATACCCACCCCATTGCCAACTTGTCCCACAACAAAGTGGTGTCCATCTTCTCCAGGGCTGTGATTCCCTCTGCCCCATGCACCAACCTACAGCGTAAAGACCGAGAAGGTGAAGGAAGCCATGCGAAACCCGAGAAACAGAGAGAGGTTGTTTCTTTGTTTCCCCTGCTGTGTTCGCTGTCTCTGCTTTCAGGGCCATGCTGTTTTCTCTACTCTCTTCTGACATGGAGGTCTTGGGGAAGCTGCCATCACTGCTTCCACAGCAGCCCTTATTTTCTTTCTTACCTTTCAGCTCCTCCCTCCTTGTTTCCTACCCTAGAAGCAGCCCTTCAGCACTTGGGAGGGGGGCCGAGAGAAAGAACTGCAGGAAGCTGGAAACAACACACAGGGATACAAACCTGACTGATAGATGATGAAGGAGGAAGAGAGATCAAATGTGGGCAGTCACAACACCAGTTGGTGGCCTATCAAGAAGCCACAGGAAGATCAGCTTGGGCCTTGCACCTCCTACAGCTGTGGGCTAGGACACACGCTGGGGTGGGTGCAGGACAGACCTATACAACCCCATGAGGGGACGTGCAGGGAAATGGGAGCCGGGAGGAGCACACTAGGGCAGACAGATCAGGGTGTAAAAGGGGCTGCAGCCTGTACTTGCATGGCTGGGCCCTGCACATGAGCACCGCTGTCTGTCCTGTCCTCTTCTGGAATATTTCCTTACGTCTCCATAATCTCGCTCTGTCCCACGCACACATGTGCTGCAAGGAGAACATAGCAATTCCTCATGGAGTGGCAGAAGTGGATTTGATGCTAGCCGCTGGAGTCAGACTCAGCGTGAGGACATCCCTGCCCTGTGCTGTCAGCTGCTGGAGCCAGGGGTCCCCCGAGCAGGGAAAGGGGGTCTCAGCCTCCAGGAAAATGTGGCAAGTCCATTTGGGGTCTCCAAAAGCAGCTACTGGGGGTACTGGCCTGCGTCTATCTTCCCCAAATGGGCATGCTTGTCCCTGCCTGTGTGTCTCCTGGGTACGTGCTCAGCTACTATTGCCGTGAAGCCTGTAAATGGGAAAGTGGCAACTGTGCCCCTCAATCTGGGCAGAGACGCTCGACCGACGATGACAGCTCAATGGGCAGTGCCAGACAGCAGGGCCCCGTACGGTTTGGGGTGCGGTCGGGGCACTGTGTCCCCGGACCCGTTCCTGCTGCTGGCTTTCCACATCTGCAGCAGTGCCGGCCACAGCTGTGATACCAGCGCACCACAGCACCAAGCTCCCAGGCCCAGCCCAGCCTGACCCGTTGCCCTCCACTGGGGACGCTTCAGGCAGGCAGCTGCTTTCTCCTCTCCCGCTTCTCTCCTCTCTCCCTACTCATCTCCTACCCCGTTCACTGCCCTCCTCTCCCCTTCCCACTCCCAAAGGAGATGCCGTAGCAGACGGGCAGCCGCTGTCTCCGCTCCCTCGCCCTTTCGCTCCGGCTCCATCTCCCGCTCCAACTCCCACTCCCTCTCCTATCCCGGGCTGGGCTGCAGGACGGGCAGAGCCCCGCGGGCAGCAGCCGAAGCCCTGCCCGCCCACAGGCGCCCAGCACTCGCAGCCCGGGCCAGCCCCCGAGCGGCCCCGGGGCGGAGCTGGCGGCGCCGGGCGGCGGCGGCGGGGAGGAGGCGCCGCGGGCGGAGCAGAGCCGGGGCTGGCGGGGGCAGCGCGGCGCGGGCGGCGGAGCGGCGGGATGCGGCAGGGCCGGGCCGCAGGGCTGGCGGCGCTGGCCGCGGTGCTCCTGGGTGCGCGGGGCTGCCGGCGCCGGGGACGGGACGGGACGGGACGGGACGGGACGGGACGGGACGGGGCTGCCCTCGCTTCTGGCCCGCCGGCTTCTTACGGACCTCGCTCCCCTCTGGCCTCCCTCTGCAGCCATCCCGCCTGCCTCCAGCGAGCTCAGCCGGCCGTTGCCTCCCACCTTGCCTTGCTCCCTGCCTCCCTCCTCTCCTTTCGGCACACCCCCACTCATTGCTGCCTGCTTCCCTTCTCCTCCTGGCTCGGACTCTCCTCCCAAACAGCCCTGCTCCGACTTGGTCCCCTAATAACCATTCCCAGTGAAATTCCTTTGTATGCTTTCTTCTGAGAAAAAGCTCGCATCGGCTGTCAACTGTTTTCTTCTCCCCTCTCCCCCTGCGTGACATTTTCAGTGCAGGAAAGACATTTTCTGAGTTTTCTCCTGCTTGCTTTCTCGGCAGTGGCTGTGTGCAGAGCCCAGGTGCAGCAGGAACCATGGGCAGAGACCAGGGAGGGCACCAGCATCAATATCACCTGCTCACACCCCAACATCCAGACTGGTGAAGTCATCCACTGGTACCGCCATCTCCCGGGCCAAGGACCCGCATCCCTAGTGTTCGGTACTGGAGGCTCCAGAGCACTGACGGACCTGCCGGGGTGGCTCGTGGTGGCAGCAGACCGCCGGTCCAGCGCCCTGTGGCTCACCGAGCCCCGGCTTCGGGACGCGGCGGTGTATTACTGCGCCCTGAGAGCCACGGGGAGAGGAGCCGGGGCTGCGGCCGTGCAGGAACCGTGGCGGGCGGGGCCGGGCGTGTGTGGCGGGGGCGAGGCAGGGGCACAGCCCCCAGGGGGCGCTGCCGCTCCGCCCGCCAGGACCACCTCGTCCCGCAGCCGCGGGGGTTCCCCCGCCAGCCCGGCCCCTCCAAGGCACTTCGGTTCTGCTGAAAGGGTCTGGAGGCTGGGTGCAGCTGAACGGAGATGGCAGCAGCCTGGCAGAGGTGTGTGCAGGGAAGAGGCACTGAAACACAGCCCCTTTCTCCTGAGCCCTCCTTTTCCTCACAATGCAACAATCACCCTTTGTTCCTGCAGAATTCAGGCCCCAACAAGGACAGAATCAGGACAGTTTGGATCCTTGGTTTAATTCAGGGTAACAATGTTTGGAGTGCCTCAGCGTGGCTGTCCATCGATGACCTTGGGATGTATAGGAGAAGCAGACTGCTGTGAGATTCCTGAGAGTGCCTGTCAGTCAGGGATTTCCGCCCCTGGACACTGACAGGTCCTCCTGGGAGTCAGTGCTGAAGCCAGGCCTATCTCCTCACACCTGTCTATAAAGGCCGGCCAGCATTGTCTCAGAAATGCATCGCAGAGGGGACAGATTCCCATCCAGCCCATGTCTGGCTGTTTCTCCTGAAGGCAAAGGGGCAGCCTAACGTCTTATTTTAGAGCAAAGGTGTTTGCTCATGGTAGCATGTTTTTCAACCAAGCTAAGCTGCCTTGTGCAAACGTAGAAGCGTATCCCAACCACAGTTTTGTCCATTTGCCAATGACATGCACCCAGAACTTCACCCAAGCATTATATACTGCTAACAGTGTCCTGGGGCATTTAAGGTAGGCAATAAACAGCAGAGCAATTAAGAAACCTATGTCTCCAGGAACTACTAGTCATATTTTGGGTTGCAACATGGGCCAAGCCCTTCCAGGGCAATGGGCCATCCCAACAAAGCAGAAATGTTTGTCAGAGCTCTGCCTGGGTCTCTTTCCTGTGGTCTACCCCACACCTTAGCCCTGGCAGTGCCATACCTTCACCTGGGCTAAATTGGTTGCATTCTCTTGCAGCTGTGGCTGATTCCATTCCTCTGACACCAGGAAAGACAAAGGGTTTACCCCAGCGCACCTTTGGCTCATCTCTCTTGCTTGCATGGTTGATTCCTTCTGGATGTGACAAGGCTGTACGAAGCAGGGACATACGTGTATCCATAAGGAAAGAGCTCTGTAATTAAGCAGGGAAAGATAGGGAGGAAGGACAGCTCCCTTCTGATGGGAGCTGTTACAGAGGTTACTAGGCTCTAATTAGATACTGGTGAGAAACATCATGGGGGTGAAAAGCACTGACAGGAAAAATATCTGCCAGCAGTCGAACAGGGCCTGGAAACAATGGGCATCCTTGAAGTGCAACTGGGCAACAGAGAGCTGCACACATCCTGAACATAGCCTCTACATAACCAAAAGAAGAAACAGAGAAACAGCTTGCCTGAGCAGGAGCAAAGCAAATGGTCAGGAAAAGTGGAAATGAGAGTGAGGAAGTCCCTGTGAGTGCACGTCCTGCACCTGAGGAAAGCTGCTGCATGCTTGAGGGCAAGTGGGCACCCTAGAGCAGTGTGGGGGCATGCAAACTGCTTGCTGTCTCTGCACTGACCCACCCCATATGGGTTCAGGGTCCTCAGGGACTGGAGATTGCCATGTATGGTCCATTACGGCAAACACCAATGCTGACTTGTGGAAGGGGATCAGCCCTGCACGTGTGCCATCACCTGGGCCCTGCCAAATGCTCTGCTGGGGGCGGTTGGGCCTCATGGGACACATGTTCCTGCCACACATGCCCATGTGTGCTGGCCATAGCCCTGAGGTATGGCAAAAGAGGGAAGATGAGGGTGGAGTAGAAGCAGTCGGGCATCCCTGCACTTATTCCACCCATTCCCCACATCTGCCATCCATCTTCTGTCCCCACCTGCTTCCCCAGCACAGCACTGTCCTGAGCAAGAAGAAGCCCGTTCCTAAGAGCCTACAGGGTGCCAAGCCTCCACAGCCTCCCACAGGCTCATAGCTTTTCCCGTGAGGACAGCAGAGGTTGTGCTCTCTGTTTGCAGGACAGGGGGGAGCTGTGGGCAGAGACGCTGCAAGGCAAGGGTAGATACCCCTACCTCTGTTAAAGGCAGGGATGTCTTCTTCAGCCCCAAGGGGCAGTGTCCAAGAGAGGACCCTCTGCAGTGTGTCTGCAACCTCCCATTGTTCTAGGAGTGGGGAAGAGGCTCCTTAAACACCCATCTTATACCCACCAAGGGCAAAACCTTTCTCGGTGGGCAGTTGAGGAGGGTATATGCAGAGGGAAGAAACATGTACAACCAAGGCTGGTGATGCAGAAAACTTTAATTAGTGTAGAGAGGAAAAGGAGGTCATTCTGAGCAGAGGCCCTTCAGTGCAGGGATCACCAGGGCCAAACAAGAGGCAGCGTCCTTTGCCCATGGAGGAGTTCATGCAGGGCATTAGTCTGCTGTTACCACAGTGGCAGGGCCGGATCTGAGGATCCCCACAGCGCAAGGGAGGAGAACAGTATGAAAAGGGGGGCAAGGAGGTAGGTAGAGGAATGGAAGAAGAGACTTGGGCCATGTTTTCAGAGATCTCAGGCTAGCCCCTGGTCAGGCTCCTGCCAATGTTTGCCAGAGGAGGTGAGGAAGGTCAGTCATTCTGAAAGCAATTGCCTGAAGACTCCTCCTTCTATTGTCCAGCACCATGGTCGTGCTGGAACCCCAGGGCCATGGGCAGTGGCTTTAGCAGGGCAGGCACCTTCTGCCACAGTAGCGGCTGGTAATGCAGGAGAGGTCACAGCACCCGGAGGTGATGGGGACTCCGTCACAGCTGAGGATGCTGCCAACGGCAGCAGAGGTGGAGGATCCTACAACGGTGTTCTGCGGGAAGGAGCTGAGGATGGGGCCGGGCAGGGTCACCACCACGGGAGAGGGCTCAATGACAACGGTGGAGTTCTGGCACTGCCTGACGCAGGGCTCATTGCAGCTGCTGGCCAGTGGAGTCGGGCCACAGGGCCGGCATGGCAGGCACTGGTTGTAGCAGGACATGTCTTGGGCTGGAGATGCACCTGGGAGAGAGGGCAGAGAGGAAGATCCAATGACACCATCACAGAGCGCATAATCCAAAAGGCTGCCTCTGCACCATGTCACAGTCTCTCTCTACACAGAACTTCTCTCTCCACCATTCTCCCATGTCAAGGAACTCCAAGGCCCAGCATAGCTCTGAACCACCACCAGATGAGATGTCTATTGATGCAAGATCCCTTCTACTTCAGAAGAGGAGGAGAGAGGGCTTCAGACTCACCTGGTTCCCAAGGAGGATGAAGCTACAGAATTGGATGAGAGAGCAAGGAGCTGGTCTGCCTTTTATACTGGTACTTCATTGCCACAGGCCCAGAGGCACCCTTGGCAGAGGTAACAATTTTCTGACAGGTTCATCTTGAATGCAAACCATCCCAACAAATGATATGGGCTGTGTGCTGGTTTCCTGCACTGCTGCCTTTTTACTTGCAGATCTAGGCCATGGCCATTCCACAGTGATGATTTCTTTAGAGTGCTGGGATGAAATGTCCAAGGACTTCTAGGGCAGGAATGTATCAGTGAGGGCAGAAGACTCACTGGAAATGCTGGATGGGTCCCCTCTGATCATCTTCATGGCTCTGCTCTGGACTCACTCTAACAGGTCTATATCTTTCCCGTGCTGGGGGCCCCAAAGCTGAACACAGCACTCCAGGTGGGGTCTCACTGAAGCAGAGATACTGAATGTTTTCTTTGCTACACTCTTTGCTTCAAGGACTTCCCCACGGGACTCCTGAACTCTGGAGGAGGAGAAAGAGTCTGGGAAGTGGAGATCTCCACCCTTGTTGAGAAGGGAGTGGTTCGGTAGCATCTGAATGGGATCAGCGCTCACAAATCCATGGGTCCTGATGTGATGCATCCACGTATGCTAAGAGAGTTGGCAGAGGTGATCACCAAACCATTCTCTATCATCTTTGAAAGGTCCTGGAGAACAGGAGAGGTGCCTGAAGATTGGAGGATAGCCATTGTCACTGCAGTCTTCAAGAAGGGCAAGAAGGAGTATCCGGGAAACTACAGGCCAGTCAGTCTCAGCTCTGTCCCTGGAAAGGTCTTGGAACAGCTTGTTCTGGATGCTATCTCCAAGCAATTGGAAGAGAAGAAGGTTATGAGGAATCACAGAATCACAGAATTGTCTAGGTTGGAAGAGACCTCAAGATCACCTAGTCCAACCTCTGACCTAACACTAACCAGTCCTCCACTAAACCATATCCCTAAGCTCTACATCTAAACGTCTTTTAAAGACCTCCAGGAATGGTGACACCACCACTTCTCTGGGCAGCCCATTCCAATTCCTAACAACCCTTTCGGTAAAGAAGTTCTTCCTAATATCCAACCTAAAACACCCCTGGTGCAACATTATCCCATTCCCCTTCGATCTGTCGCCAGGCACATGGGAGAATAGACCAACCCCCGCCTCGCTACAGCCTCCTTTAAGGTACTTGTAGAGAATGATAAGGTCGCCCCTGAGCCTCCTCTTCTCCAGGCTGAACAATCCAAGCTCCCTCAGCCGCTCCTGGTAGTACTTGTTCTCCAGACCCCTCACCAGCTTCGTTGCCCTTCTCTGGACTCGCTCAAGCACCTCCATGTCCTTCTTGTAGCAAGGGTTCCAAAACTGAACAAAGTACTCGAGATGCAGCCTCACCAGAGCCGAGTACAGGGGGACGATCACTTCCCTAGACCTGCTGGCCACACTGCTTCTTATGCAAGCCAGGATGCTGTTGGCCTTCTTGGCCCCCTGAGCACACTGCTGGCTCATATTAAGCCAACTATCAACCAATACTCCCAGGTCCTTCTCCACCAGGCAGCTTTCCAAGCACTCATCTCCCAGCCTGTAGCTCTGCTTGGGGTTGTTGTGCCCCAGGTGCAGGACCCGGCACTTGGCCTTGTTGAACTTCATACGGTTGGCCTCAGCCCATCGGTGCAGCCTATCCAGATCCTCCTGCAGAGCCTTCCTACCCTCGAGCAGATCGACACACGCACCTAACTTGGTGTCATCTGCAAACTTACTGACGGTGCACTCAATCCCCTCATCCAGATCATCGATAAAGACATTAGAGAGGACTGGCCCCAGTACCGAACACAGGGGAACGCCACTAGTGACTGGAATAGTCAGTGTGGATTCACCAAGGGGAAATCCTCAGGGGAGCTGGAGGCATGTGTGATCATCCTCAGCCCCTGAACAGGGAGAAGTGTCATAATGACCAGCTGCTGTGGCAGCGCAGTATTGCATGTCTGGGACAAGCTGGGTGTCCTGTAGGCTGCAAATTCTGAGACCAGGCAGGAGAAATGAAGCTGCGCTGATGAAGCTACTCTGTCTCACAAACCATGTTGAATATGGGGTTTTTACATCGTAAGGCTTGAGGAAGCTCTTCTGTCTGCTTGCAAGAGCAAGAAGGAAAGCAACCTGGAGGAAGAAAAGCTTGGCCTAGGCAGCTCCCAGCAGGGGACAGCCATGGGCCCTCTTTTCTCTGTGCTCTCAGGGAAGGCAGCACCAGCCTCAGCCTTGTCTCAGAAAGGGTCTGATCTACCCCGGGATCACTGCCCCAAGGATTCTCTGGAGACATTGAACACCTCTGCAGGAACAATGCTTTCCCTCTGGTTCTTGCCTGGGAACATGCCTGGAGCTGACCAAACAGCTGCAAAATTTTAGTTTGAGAGTCAGAATGCTGCACTCGATATTGGGGGAAAAAAAAAAAAAAAAGTTCCATCAAGGTAAACATTTAAAACTCATCATCTCCTGAGCATTCCGCAACCCTGTTCAGAAAAAGCTGAACTGATAAAAGTAGAGACTAAAAATACTTGGGGCAACAAATGTGGTGAAGGGCCTAGAGGGGATGACATATGAGGAGTGGCTGAGGTCACTTGGCCTGTTCAGCCTCTGGAAGAGGAGGCTGAGGGGAGATTCATCGAAGTCTACAACTTCCTCATGAGGGGGAGTGGAGAGGCAGGTGCTGACCTGTTCTCCATAATCACCAGTGATAGGACCTGTGGGAACAGTGTCAAGCTGAGACCAGAGAGGTTTATTCTGGACATCAGGAAGAGGTTCTTCACCGAGAGGTTGGTCGCACACTGGAACAGGCTCCCCAGTGAAGTACTCACTGCACCAAGCCTGTCTGAATTTAAGAAATGATTGGTCTGTGCACTTAGTCACATGGCCTAAAATTTTGGGCAGACCTGTGTGGTGCCAGAAGTTGGACTTGATGATCCTTAATGGGTCCCTTCCAACTCGGGATAGTCTATGTTTCTATGATTCTGTGACTTGCTTCTAACATTTCATTTATATCTTTGTTTCTTTTGCAACACTCTGAAGCATAATATCTATTCACTTTGGTTGAAAAAAAAAAACAAAACACTGGGTTGATGCTGATGATCTTGTATAGCAGTATTTCTGTTGCTGGCTGGAATTCTTATGAGTTGGGAGCTTCTTTTATGCAGAAAATTATTGTACGTCTTACAGCACCGTGGGACACGAAGAAATCTAGCAATGCAAAATATATATATATAATATTATTAACATTTATATTATTTATATATAATATAAATATATAAATACAATATAAATTTTTATATAATATTATAACATTAACATTTCTTTGAAACCTGAATAAATAATTTCTGTCAAATACTCCAGATTTGTCTGACCTACTTGGTTTTTGGAAACTGACACAAGAGAAAAAGTCAGGGACAAGAATAGAAAACAGACATGCACTGGCAGCATGTACAGTCTGTGTGAAACTAATCTACCCACACAACACAGGACCCCAAGGTTTGCAGATGTGGGAAGTCCCTTGCCTGTGTGTGGGGAGCAGTGGTGCTGCATGGAGCACAAGGGCCACTTCATCTTCATGGCTCTGGGAATGATAGAGGAGCTTGGTGCCTGGGAGAAGATCCCCCAGCATGTGCCCTGTGGTTGGGCTGGTGCATGCCCTGTGCCATTCACGGCCCATAACCAGACCTTGCTGAGTGCACAACCAGGTCCTGTTCTCACTGCCATGTCTCATCAGAGACTGTGGGATATCTGCCCCACAGAATGGCTTTTCTGAAACATAGTGTGATTGTGCCACCCATGGGGCTTCTGAGTTCTACAGCCTGATGAAAGCTGACCCATGCTTGGGAAAAAGAAAGGAAGACCAAGCAGCCATGAGTGTTTGGCCATCAGTCCCTGTCTTGCCAATAGCTGGGCCATGCCAGACGCTGTGCTGAAGTGTGATTGGGATGCACAGGGAAGCTGTTCCTGCTCTCCATGCCCAGACATGATGCCCATGATCACGTGGTGCCGGAAAGGTGAAAGTCGATGAGAGACAGAGGGCTATCCCCTAGACAATTTCCCATTCCCAGTTTATGCAGTCCTTTGGGATTATCTTTTTCTGAACCTCCATCCCCAGCACAGCTCCACCCATAGCAAGACACTCTTCCCCAAGGGCTGGGGTCTACAATGTCAACAGCGCTTGTCTAGGCAGAGACATCACAAGTCAAGGACTGGTGGCCATTGGCTGTGGAGGAACTAGGGATGTCTTCCTCACCTTCAAGAGACACTGCCTGAAAGAGGAATTGCTGCAGTATGCCCCACCCTCCAGTGCCTAGAGGAATGAGGCAGTGCCCCCAGCCTATTCCCACTAAGGAATGGTTTTCTCCCTTGGCCATCAGTATCCAGATGAAAAGACCACACAGGGACACACTCAGGGTTGCTGCAAATGTTTATCAAGGCTCAGGAGGGAAAGGAGGTGACTCCAAGAGGAGGCCCCAAGATCGTAGCACAGCAGGAGCAGACAAAAATCTGTTCAGCTTTTCCAATGGCAGACTTGCAACAGGGCATCAATCTACCTGGCCCACATGGGGAGAGGGTCTACCAGGTCTCTCCAGGCTGGTTTCTGGGGGCCTCACACAAAGGAGAGGGCAAGAAAGCAAAGAAAGAAAAAGAGCGTGTGGAAAACAGGTTAGGTAGACAGTGGCCATGTTGTCATAGACTCCAGGCTGGCCCCTTCCTATCTGTCCTTACAGGACAAGCCAGAGATGGTCAGGTCCTCTTAGAACAACAACATG